ATTTTTTTTATTTTTTTATTTTTATTTTTAAACCTTTCCACCATTTGCTCCTTCCTTTTCAATAAATTTAATTTTAATATTTCGGAGTACTGTTCTGTTTTATTAACAAATTAAATCTCCTTTTCTTCCTTCTTTATTCATAAATTGGTTCTTCTTTTATTTCAACTCCATGAAGTGGTGGTTACTGTCCAAAATTATCAAAACACATTTCCACTAATTTATAATTTATGTTTTTGGTTACGCCATCGTAAAGATTTTCGTTCTATATTATTTATGCAAGTAGTCATGGTTTGTCCACTACGCATTAGGTTAGAACTATCCCATGCATCTCATCATATGCATCATCATCATACTATCTCGACAGCATTCGGAGTCGATGCTTCACATATTGAATTAGTGAATCAAGTTGGAACATCTAATTCGGTTTTATATATTACAATGGATATTATTATTCTAAATTTGTAAGGCACTAGTTAATAATAGTTAATTTTCAATTGATTTTGCAGGCAGACGAAGAAGAAAAGGATCATTTGAAGATAAAAATTGAAACAGCCATTGCAGCTTTGAATGATCCACAAAGCCCCATGAGCATATGATCATGATGAAGTTCCATTTTTCAAATGATCACTGCTGTTTTAGGGTTTGACCTTTAATTTGTCGATCTTGTTTCTGTTGGAAATGTCTTTTCTTTGCTGGGTTTTTTCCTCTGCTTTTTCCTTGATGAAGAAGATCCTTCCCTTAAATCATTTGGTCTTGTTTTTTATGTGGAAAGTAGTTAACTAGTACATGTTAATAATTGCATCATGTTGTAGACTGTAGTAAAACATGTCTATGAATAATTGGTTACCCATATTGCTCGAGAAACCCCACTTTGTCGGAATACTTAGAATTATTCAGATTATGGTGTGGGTGGAGCCAGCAAAACATGAAAGCTACACGACCCATAACAAAAACAACTAAACAAAAATAATACGTGAAGGGTAAAAAGAAAGCAAAGTGTTATTTTAATGAACCCAAAAATTTATTTAATGTTGAAGGAAGATTTAATTAGAGAGTGGAGAGGGACGGCAAAGAAAGAGAAAAAGGGGATCAAATTTTTTTAATGTGTTTTTTTCTCCGCTTTGTATCTCTATTTATACTAATTTTTGGTACGGTTTTACTTGTCCTCTAATTTCTACTTCTAATTTACATATTACCGTGGTAGCAAAAATCCGTCATCTTCGGTCTTGATGAATTTGTACCTGCAAAACAAATTAACACCTTTGATCAAAGGTCAAATCCACATGCCTAAGGAGTTTTTTTTGGGGAGGGGGTGGGTTTGGCCAATGAATCAATGCCTAAATCAGTTTCTTTTGAAAGAGAGAGAGTTTTAGGACTTAATTGCGTAGCTAAAGCTTACCAAAATGTGGGGAGAAAGGGTATTAGTAGGAAGATGGCCGGCCATAGGGAGAGAGGTTCTTGAGCCATGTGTCGTCTTCCAGTTGGCCAAGGTGTGTAATTCGTAGGATGGAGAAGGAAAGAATTATCCCGAATGTTGGAACCGAATTCATGCACCGCCATAGGAGCACAAATCTGTGTAACCTATAAAAGAATAAACAACCATGAGCTAGGCAAAGATCGGAGGGTGTGCCAGTCAAAGGCTTTCAGACGGTCAAGTCAGTAAGTTATATTAAGACTCAAGCAGTGGGCAAGAGAATAAGTATGCAACAATTATGTTACCAGAGATGAGCCCTAGAAGGGTGTATTTATACCAGTCGAGAATGAGACCTTTTAGGATAGTAAAATCCTTATTAAACCAAAAGAATCCCAAAGGATATCTAGGAAGCAGATATTGCATTCGCTTAGGAGTGTGATTACTTACGGCACACTCCAATCCTTATATTGGAAGGATTCCAAAGTTATAGGAAACCTGCTGATTCCTTACTGGATTAGATTTACATATCTTGCGTAACAAGTATGGTCAATATTAGCAAAGTCGTCGAACTTCGCCCACTGATTCTGGAACATGATGATTGTGGCATTGTTGCTCCGTTGGATTAAATGTCGACATCACCCCCCCCCCCCCCCCACCCCTTTAGGTTAAACTAATACTCATCCTAGAACTTTCAATTGGCACCAAAGCAAGTCATGAGACATAATTGTGAGATTTGTTGGATAACTAGGATGATTCGTTATGTGGGTTAAGTTTCTCATTCACCACACTTTGATGGTGACAACTATGTTGCGTGGAAGCGAAAATGAAATATTTTCTATGGGCGCAAGAAGATAAGGTGTGGCTTACTATTGAAGAATGTTGGGAACTTCTGACGATTGAAGAAACTAAAGGTGAAGGAGAGTCCTCTATGTCTATAACTAAGCTTAAGCCTATGAAAAAATGGAGTAATCATGAGCGCAGCTTTAGAACTTTTAACCAAAAGGCTCTGAATGCTTTATTCACAGCCATTTCACCTGAACAATTCAATTACATAAGCAAATGTACAACAATGAAAGAAGCTTGGGACATTCTTGAAGTTGCTCATGGGGGTAACTTAACTGTTAAAGAATCCAAGCTTCAACATCTCTTCACAAAATTTGAAAATATCAAAATGTCTAACGATGAGAGTTTCTTTGACTTTTATGCTAAGCTTAGTGTAATTGTCAATGGCTACCATAATCTTGGCGAAAATATTCCAGAGCATAGTATTATGAATCTTGAGATCACTTCATGTGAGATTTTATGCTAAGAGAACATTGATTTGAGGAATCAAAAGATCTAAACACCTACAAGCTTAAGCAAATGATTGGGTCTCTCCAAACATATGAGTTAGAGCTTCCTAATTCCAAAGAGGTGAAAAGAATTACTCTCAAAGTTGTCAAAGAAGAAAACAGCAAGGACTAGTTGAAGTCTTATCTGAAGATGAATTGGTTGAACTCTCTAAGAAAATTAGAAGGTTTCTCAGTATCAAGAATTCCAAGGGTCATGACCAACAAACCAACTTAGGTACAAACTCAATAAGTATTCGTTCTTAAGACGTCTCACATGATAAAGCATCTAGGCCATCTCAAACTAGTGAACGTAGGAGTTCAAACCATTGAGTTCAGTGCCATGAGTGCCATGGACATAGTGCTTCTGAGTGTGCAAACCCTATCAAGAGAAAAGAGAGAAGAAGAATAAGGCAATGAATGTTACTTGGAGCAATAGTGATTCTGGTGATGCATCTGCTAGGAAAACGAAAAGGATACAATTGCTTTCATAGGAACTGTCAATTGATTTGATATAGAAGGCTCATTTGTTGAAGAACCTGACATGGAGGAAGCCTTGAAAAAATATTCTGATCTCTATGACACCACTGTGCAAGTCAAGAAAGATAACTCTATCTTGAGAAAGAAACTGGCACTAGTTGAAAGTGAAAAGAAGGAAGCTAAAGTTGAGCATCAATTTTAGTTGGACAATGGAGAGAAACTGCGAGAATCATTGTTAGAAAAGATTCATATTCTTTAAACCACAATAAACACTCTCACGTCTTGTGAGAAAGCTCTTAAGGATAAACTGGTTGAGGTAAAAGGAAAAGTTCAAGAACTAAGCATAGGTTCGGGAAAATTTGACAACATGCTTAGCTATGCAAAAGAGTTTTGGAGACAAAAGAAGTCTAGGATTCGAGTCTGAAATTACTACTAATTCTTCTTCCATTACAAGGTTTGTCTAAGCCTCTTATATTCTTAGCTTGAAGGTAGGTGATGATCAAGGTTTAGGTCTTACTTCCGAAACACCTATAAGTCAATACTTTAGCTAACCCAATTCCAAAAGGTCTAGAAGTTTCATTCCTATTTGTCATATTTGTGGGATTCATGGTCACATAAGCAAGTCTTAAGAAACAATTTGTAACTCATTTTAAGGAGGTTAATAGGATCACAAGGATTATATATGTTTCAAGTTTGACTGTTCCAAAAATGAGACAAGTTTGTAAAAGAAAATATTATCATAGTGGTGTACTTGTCAAATACTCTCCACCTCTGAGTCATTTATATTAACAAAACTCTCTCTTTGCAAATGTTTTCAGTCATGTATGTTTGCATTTTCATATAGGCTAGATATTGCAATTTTTTCTTCTTATTAAAAAAAAATTGTGTGAGACGAAATGAAAAACTATGTTTTCATATGAGTTTTGTTACAACCCGTATCTTAGAATACTGTATTTTATTCTTGAACCTTGTGAAATGATTAAAATACCCCTAGTTGGATGTCTTGAGTAAATATCGAGCCTTGAGCTTAAATTTCAATTTCTCATATTTACTTGGTTTCTTTAATTGTTTTCGTACTCATGAGCGTGTGAGTGAAGATCGGAGTTACGAGGGTTGAATGGTAAACTCAAAGCGATGGAGGGCACTTTTGTAATTTCACATAGGAAATTACTAAGTGGGATTAAACCCACTCTTGGTCCCTCTCTTCCTCTCATTCACGTTAGTCTCCTTCTCGATCTGAACTCTTTCTCTGCAACACTCACTCTCTCGAAGTTCACCGAGAGCCATCACTCACAACCACCCTTCTCCGTTCAACAACCCAACCCCAAACCATCATTCTAGCATCCCCGTGACCTCAGGATCCCAATAGTATGCTTGCATGTGTGATCGGTGGTCGGGAAGGGACTCAACCCTAGCGTCCTCTCTGCATGCAAGCCTAGCTCCGGTGACGAACTCCAATGAGAACCGTCGAGCTCGAAGCCAGCTGGGGGTGTTCTTTCTGTGGATTTGAGTAGTTTTCGTCCGGAGAAGACATGTGGAGGTTCCAAGTCCAGTTTTTGTGGCTCTAACCCCTGCATGCACCCTGTTTTCTTTTTCTAGAATCCGATGAGCCTTCTCGAATGAAATTCGGCGAATCCGATGAACCTGAAATCGTTGTGCGTAAGCTCCTGCATGATACTAGCGTGTTATTCGTTGAGTTTTGAGTTGTTTTGCACGAAAAAAAAATCTTTGTACGCCAGGCGCAAAGGTTTTAGAAACATAAAGGTGGAAGGGGACGCTGGTTTGGGTTCAGGTTCGATTAACTCCGGATCCATTACATACAAAAGAGACAACCCTAACGCAGAAATCAATTTACCAATCCTTTAGCAGCTCACTAGCAATATCCTTGTAGCTAACTTTCTTTTTCTTTGAAGGTCCTGCATTCGGTATCGGATCCGGTGCTGGTTTCTCATCTCGAGTACTCGTATATGTAGTTTCAGCTTTTTTCATACCAAGACTTGGAATCATGTCAAGCAACATGGCTTCAACAGGATCAGCCGTAGCTTCAAGTTCCTCCCGTTTTTTACTCTCTTGGACGTTTTGTTTCTCCTTCATTTTGATTTCAGCAATCTTGTAAGGCTCTTCAATTCTAATGTCCTCGGCGACATCTTGCTCAACTGCTTTGCCTCTTCGTAACGATTCAGAATCTTTCATTGCTTCATTTTCTTGGATGTCTCTACTTTCCTGACCTACCGTTCCGTGAATTCTTTCTCCCAGATCAACCTCTTCCCCAAGTGATGTACTGTCATGAGAGCCACCTTCTTCTGACTCGTTGCCAGATATTTTAGCTGGCTTCCTTCCAATACGCGCCCGTGCTCTTCTAGCTTGGTTGACAGCTGATTTTCCTTTGTTCAAGCTTGTGCGAGCAGGTCTTCCCCTTTTCCTTTTGCTTCCCCTCTCGGGTGAGTCCAACATCTTATAGTTTTCTGGAGCCGCTTTTACTTCAATCTCTTTTCCTTTCCGGTTAGGAAAACAAGAATTGTGGTTTTCCACCGCATCCATATCGCAGGGTGCTTCTTCTAGACCCATGTCATGTTTCCTACACAAAACAGAAGCAGAACTGAAATGTTATCCACCGTAAAACTTGTTCCTCGTGCTGTGTTCACGGTAGGAACCAAATAAAAAAAAAACAAAACAAATACGATTCCCCGTGTATAACTCAAATCAACTAACTTGACTTTCGATGTTTATTATGACAACACTTATAGCCCAATATCCCATAAGTGAAACTGAAACAGCGGAATGCCACACGCAAAATGCAATCATATTTTAAAATAATCGAACTCACCATTCTTCAACGTTGGATTCTTCCAACCCATTGGGTTTTAAGCTATATTTTTCCTCTTGCAATCTTTGGTCTCTTTCCAAGCAGTCTTCCAACCATTGCGATCCAACAATATGCAACCTTTTGCTATGCAGATATCGTTTGTCTCCTTCAGTGAAACTGTAACAGAGAGAGCAATTCAAAAGATAGAGGAGAAAAGGTCGCGGACTGTAAACAGAACAGAACAAACAATTCATGCTCTTACAAAGGTAATATCAAAATCTCATTAACAAAGAAAGAATTAAAACCATAATCTTCCTGTTTCTTAACATGATATTTTGTTTTACTGCCACATTAGCTATTAAGCCTATTATAAGAGAACATGCATATGGCTGTGTTGAGAAAGAAATGACACCACTCAATTGATTATAAATAAATCCTAATACACAAACATTACTTATATTAAAATGGAGACACCATTACTGTATGAATCTTGATTAATTAGTAATGCCAGAAAAAAGCACATCTGACGACTTTTCAGGGAAAGCAAATGAATGAACACATTAATTGATGTGAATATCCTTACACATGATATAGCAACGAGAACCGAAACTATATTGATTGCACACCCATATTTGAATAATAATATATAAATAAAAGGGAAAACTGGAGGTACCGAGCCTCCAAAATTGATGAAAATAACCATTCAACAGATTCGACAAAGAATCATAAAATAGGTTAATAATGCTTCGATTGCGAGTAATGATCCACATATCTTATTATCAGGAAATGCCAGCAATTATCCTGAACTAAAGAATACTTCCTTTCAGTCACGACTCACAACATTATGGACCATAGTTACCTTCGTAATAAAGTTTCAAATATATCAGGACCCTGCACAGACAAGACTACCAAATGGGTCGCCTGAACAAGACCGTCAGTGACTCTGCCACCACCCCTGAGAACTTCAATCCTCAACCTTCTCAGTGTGAGTCCTAAGACAACTTCCCAATCCGGCTTCCTTCAACCAAAGATTAATCAGAAAGCAATTAACAAAAAAATTTGATTACAAAGGAAATAAAAGAAAAACCTAGTAAAGAAAGCTTAATGTATCCAACAGATCTTACGAGGAATGAATTGAGGATTTAAAGTAAATGCAGCAGTCGTGAAAGCGAGACCATCTATCCACCGGACAGTATTTTTTCTTGTAATAGTCAACAACTTTGGAGTCCTCTGATCTATGAATGTTGCTTAAAAGCTGAAAAAATTAAATAAATAATTACCACGTTGTCTGTTAAAAACTCTATCTGTTAACTCCATCAGAACCAGTACTAAATAAATTAGACATAATACAGCCAATTCACTGTTATGAGAGAAACTAAAAATTCTATGTATATACCTGCTTTATCTCCGCAAGGTCAAGATCCCAGTAGTACGAGTCAGAAAAATCATCAATCTCTTCTTGTAACTTCTTCTTAGAAGAGTCAGATAAGAAGAGATAGTACCTACACGAGTAAAAGAAGAGTAAATAAAAGCATTTACAGTCGGAAAAGGAGGCAGATTTTACAATGTCTTTTCAATACAAATAGATTAGATACTGTCACTAACTTTGGCTGTAATGGAAGGAGTTTCTTTTGAGAACAACAATCCAACACCCAAGAGATATGAATGATATCTCCATGACGCTTTGCTGCCTGATACCTGATCCCTGTCAAACTAACTTAGGATCAATAAAACTAATAGAAATTGTCCTTGTGTGTGCATGTAACTAAGTCATGAAATATATATATATATATATATATATAGAGAGAGAGAGAGAGAGAGAGAGAGAGAGAGGGATACCTTTGCCATCAGCTGCAACACAGTGTGTAACTGCATTATTTAAATTCATAGAGAAAGTACCCCCATTCTCAACAACTAGCTTGTGCAAGGAATCAAGAGAATGAGTGGGTGGCACATTAACAAAGTCTGGGAAGTTAAGAACAAAACGGCAGAAAAGATGGAACATTTTTAGAAGTCACTGAATAAATGGATGCAATCATATGGCATGCTCAAAATAGCCAATGTTAAGCCTATATAGATTCCAAATGCATACAAATAGTATTCGCCGTTTCTTTTATTAAATTTTTGTCTACAGGTTACTAAACACATGTACATCATCTCTCATCCAGTTAATACACGACCCAAACCCCTTAATGGAAATAAGAGTTAAGTACAAAATGGAGAAAGTATCATCACAAGAAAAAAAAACAGTTGACAACATATACAATAAGAAAAAAAATAATAAAAATTACGTGATGAAAATAAAGACAGAGAAAGATCAGGAAACGTTTTTCAATCACTTGACTCAGATATAAAGCAAATAACTCAGCGATAATCTCACAGGATACAAAACATCATATTTGAAAATAGTAATGTGTCCTCCTTCACGCCCGAAACATCAGTCTGAACAAAATGAGAGGGGACAATAGACAGATTTCTTTTCTCTTCCTTTCTAGGGGACTTCTTGCTTCTCTTTTTAGTATCCTGCAGACCACCATAATCCGTCCCCCTTTGTGTGGTCCCATTGCCTGCTTGTACAAGCTCTATAAATGCTGCAAGAGGAAAATCAAACAACCAAAAATTTAAAGTTTGTGTCCATTAAGAGCTTACTGAATCCTTGAATACTGAAATTAAGAATATAGAGAGGAATCCTAGTACTGAAAATTGAAAATATACTGGTGGCCGAAGTAAAGCTAGAATCCTAAGATGCATTTGGAATAAATTGGATCCTCTTACACTGCACGTCAAGGCATTCATGCCAAGGTTTATCATATCTAACACGATCAATACGTGGAAATCTCAGGCTGTACGGTGCAGCAAAAACCTGCAAGAATGCCACAGCTAATAGATCAATAAAATCACCAAACTCAAAATAGAACCTAAACATATACGGTGGCCTTCCTAGATCTATATGTAGTATCTGATTAATAAATGAATCACAAATGTTACTATAGCTGTTAGGACCCACCTCAGACTTTATAGTTCTGATGTCACTCGTTATAGAAAGTATTATTGATCTGCAATACAAAGGGGGAAAAGAAAAAGATGATTGATATATAAGCTGACAATGAATACATCACAGACCTATTCAGAAAATCATACTAACTTCTCAGGGCTTTCAACCCAAACATCTGGTCTCTCTTTAGAATTGTCTGTTACTTGATAAAAACTTGGTGGTGCCTTTTTTGGGTACTCATATTTCCTGACAGAAGAGAGAGAATCAAAATTTATTTGCAATTTTGCACAGATAAGGAAAGAATAGCACTTAACACCTAGTATTTGTCAACACAAGATCTAGTATTTTCTTTTCTTTACCAAAAAAATAAAAACGATATTTAACAATTGAAAGAATAGATCCCTTGACGTATCACAATGATCCTAACCCATTTCCCCACCCTCCCTCACTACTTTGGGCTAAACCCAAGGGCTTAATAAGGTATTGTATTTCACCATATAAATTTCCCTGTACCAGTAATTAGCCAAAAAAGTCCTATTGGTGTTGGCTCCAAGCCTTATCTCAACTTCTTAACAGAATTCCTGATAAATGAAATTAAACTGATCTGACCTAAACTTACAAAACTACACTAAACAATCACCAAAGATATCAATTTTACAAGCTTCATGGCCATCAATGCAATAGTCACAGCACATAGTGTTCTGGTTGCTTCAATGGCCATTTCATCTTGCTCGTTGGATATTTTTTCGAATAATCCCCTGCAGAGCTATCACAGCGTTTTTAAGTCATATAACAAAATAAAATACCTCAAATACGGCTTTAATTTTGTTGCAACAGCTTCTATCTCTTCATCAGAAAGTCCAGTGCCCACTCTGCAAAAGGATACAAACCTGCGATATGAAAACCTAGTTAGAAACATTCGATTACCCAGAGTGCAAACAAGCATAATAAGCACAATGATTTAGGCAACAATGTGAGACACTTACACAACCTATTGCTTGTTAGTTGTTTTAAGTATCAATATAGTTTAAAATCAATTCCTCTTGATTATGTTATTCTCCAAATTGGAGGATATATATAGCAATACAAACTATCTAGATCAAGTGTGAAACCAAATATAATAAGTCGAATATGACTGCTATGAATCTACAGCCTACAATCTACATTACTCTTTAGAATCAACTCTATTAATTACATGGGATTACTTGTCTGATCTTTAGTCAAGATTGCTTCTTCAATTAATATCAGCCAACAAATATATTAGCAAAAAGCCAACCCTAAGTCAGCTAAATTCATATTCAAGATCAACTCTAAAACAAGCCAGGTAAAATTCCAACCAGATATATAAAGGTCAACCAAAAGAAAGAAACATTGTACCAGCAAACACATTTAAATTAACTCGTAGATGCTCCTCTTTTATACTTTCTCAAGTTGCCAAAATATTAATTTACACCGCAACAGATACATGTTGGCACTGTATAAACATGCATGCAGGTGCGTGTATGAGAGAGAGAGAGAGAGAGAGAGAGAGAGAGAGAGAGGAAAATATGATAATCGCTAATGATGAGAGAATGCTTGGTAAACATTCTCATAAGCATCATTAACAAATCAAGAAAAATTAGATGCTAAACAATATTTTCATATATTGAAGCTAATCATTCTCTGAAAATCAACTAACCAATGAATAATTCTTACCTTCTAGGATATGTATTTGAAACCGGACGCTCAGCAAGACCCACCAAGAACTGAGCTACCTGCAATATATGAGAAATTTATCAAATGAACTAAAATTCAAACACATATATTGGTGCACCCGGTTCTTCTCTCCTAGGGTCCTTAAAATAACATCTTGTTTCATAGCCCTCATGGCAATACATCTCAGTCGTCTGCATATGATCTCAAGGGTCGAAGAATATAAACTTATTTGAGGACCCTAAGATAGTACATGATATACACAGGTGCACAATGTTTATTGGGTGGGAAGGGAAAAGACTAGTATATTAGCAAGGATTGCAAACTGACCACCCCTCCACGACGTCCAGAGCCATAGTATCCTCCTAAACACAGGCATGCAAACATTTAACTAAAAAGCATGGCAGATACAATAATCCAATAAATTTCTTCGTGTATAAGAATTTAAGAAAAAGAAAGTACAGACCTATGATAAGAACGTCCAGATCAGAACCTGCACGAATGTAGTCAGGCTTTAATTTTAACCATTTTCCACTACGATCACTAGGTTCCCATTTCGAACCAAGGTCCTTCAAAACAATCCCCTCATCTCTAACAGGAAGAAAAAATGATAAATAAGCATTAGAAATATCCATGAATAACTCAATTTGGAACAAAACGCAACATTGATTCTGGAATGAAGAATTTAGACGCTATAAGAATATGGGGAAAAGGGCTTAGTTTCATATTTTTCTCATGTGCAACACCATCGATATGAAGGTTTCTATGATTTTAAAGGTATTTACAAGAAGCGTACGAAAAATCACTTTTAACCTTAGCTGCTAAGATTAAGTTCTTGTTGTTTATGTCCAGGGAAACAATTGGAACTCCACAACTTGGTCCAGTCTCACTTTTACAAATCTAAAAATCTGGAGCTAGTGGTAAAATTTCTTCTATTAAATGGAGAAAGATTATAAAATTTATAGAAACTGAAAAACAACGTACAAGAAAAGATGGCCAAATCTCCATTTATGCTTAGGAAACAAATTACGAGAAAAGCATTATGAACCTAAGATTAATGCCTAATGGTCCTAATTAAACTGAACTCAAATACAATAAAAGGAATATCCCTAAATCTATTTTCCATTGATGCCCATAAACACGCCAAAAATCTGCTTTACCATAGGAAATCCACTTCCACTCTAACGTCTACAAAGATTTTGCTCTCTCTCCATCCAACAATCTAAAGAAATACCAACTGCATCAGAATAGTGTAATCCTCTCTTTATAGGCTTCTACCTCCAAATAGTTTCAAAACTAATTCACATAAAATACTCCGAAAGGCCTGAACCAAGGGCATTAATGCTGCATATTGTAATTTTACTGGGCTTAATGCAATAATGACATGGTCAAATTAAGAACGAGCTAACAGATAACGATCAAACATCAGACATTGCACTTCCAAAACGAAAGAAACAACGTTTCAAAGAGCTGAAAGGAAAATGCATTGATGTCCCTATGTCTTAAGAACATACCAAAAAGATCTTGTCAACGGGACCAAATTACCATCTTTATGCAATTAGATAATAGTATTATATTTACAGTCTTCACATGAGTGGTCCAATATCTACATGCAAGTGAGTTATAAACCAATGTTACCACAACCCACAAAACTTGGCTGGGGAACATAGGTGTAAAGTGTCTTATCTTTTGCACCAATGAAGCCAGAGACATCTAACTATGTGGAAGGATGTATGGATAATGTATCCAGCCTTTACCCACAACTCAATAGATTTTATGAGAAAGCCTAAATAGCATGTAGGATCGACTGCAGATAATGTATATAACTACTACAACTCAGTAGACATTTACAAGAAGGCCACATGTTTCTACCTACCCATTAATGTATATGACAAGATGCTATTAAGGCCTTCTCATAAATGTCATTCACGTTATTCCTATTGAGGCCTTCTCATAAATGTCCTTCACATTATTCCTATTGTTCCACCACATAGATTATTTGATTTTTGCATTTAAAGACACATGATACATCAGAACAATCATTGCATGTTTCTATAAATAGTTCCTAATGCACCCTCATGTTACTCCTATACGAGCTACAATAGTTAACACTCGTACAATAGTTAACCTGAGTCACTTTACTCGGACCTTTTTTTAATCAGCATAGCAATACAAAAGAGAAGAAAAGAAAATGGAACAAGGAATTTGACAGTAGAGGAAATTAAAATCAATCTTATATGATAAAAAGAAACCACTTGCTATTCAGTTGGCCTTATAATACTTGGAAATCTGACCTATTTTCGATGGTATCTTTGAAAAACTTCTCAACATCATCCACATTACTAGCAATAAGCGACCAGCAAGGTTCCCCTGCATTCCCATCACAAGAGACTGATCGAGTGGTAAATATATTAAACTATTTTGCAGGAATGATTAGCTTTCCAGAAGAAAAAAAATATACTATGTTTCTATGCAAAGAATTACCAGTAGTGGAGAGAAGAACCTACTAAATCAGCATTATAATATCAGACAACAATGACGGGCATCTAGTCATTAATTGTGTATTTCATCTTTCTTTTGTTACATATTTCGTAGAAAATACCTTTTACATGAATGAAAATTTTCCAAACCCAGATGAATCACATAGCAAGTTTATGTACATAAATCAACTCAGTAGCAAGCAAATGAAAATATAAAAATGCCAATTAAACTTGCAAAATCCACTGATTTGTACTGGCTTGAAAAACAAACATATAAACAAATTCTGAAATCTCTAAAAGCATTTTTACCTTCATTACGGTGAGCGTTAAGACCACGATTGGGTACTAAAATCTCTAAACAACCCTTCAATGGATTCACAACTTTCTGGAGAAGCTCATGTCGTTCCTTCAAGCTCTGGTGAATCACACTAGTATCTCCAACATAGAGGATATCGAATGCAACATCTAGATAATCTCATGTCAAGGTACACATAATTAACATTTTCATAATTGTCCTCCACATTTTTTATTTGTGGATTCAGTGATATCTTGTTAGGAATTGGTTCGTCAATATTAGTGTCCTATTTTCTTTAGAATTGTATTAGGAAAGCTAAAGGCACACATATTCTTGTCCTACAAGGATTATGAAAAAATTAAGTTTTCTTGTACAATTAGATTGGGAATCCTAAAAGTATAAATGGCATAGGAACGTAAATATACTTTCCTATCCCAAATAGCATAGGAGACTTAATCAGAAAATAGGCGTGTAAACCACATCCTATACTTATAAATAGGGTGTGGCAAGGAGCAGAGAATAAGAGACAGTCGAGAGAAGTCGGAGGGATTAGTCCTAGGGTTTACAAAAGCATTGCATGCTCTATTATTGATTCAAAGAGAAATCACGATTAGACGTAGGCAAACGTTCTGCCGAACCAAAATATATCTTGTGCATTCTAATTATTCTCTATTTTTGCTAAGTTTAGTCGATTGTCGGATACATCAAAGAACAAGTTCCATAGTGGAGACGAAAATCTTACAATTGGTATCAAGAGCTTGGTTCGAGGTGTTTTGCGATGTCAAAAGAAAGGAGTTCGCGGACCTAGGAAGCTTAAGGCCTGCATTACAACCTTTTGATGGCAAGGATGATTTCACATACTAACAAAGGATGATGAGAAATTAGCAAGAGTTGGATGATGCACTCCTCAATGAGAAGCCTTCGACCATGATAGAAGCGGCATCGACCATGACTTTCAGGAAGGCCAAGAGTTCCATCAAGATCATCTCACAAAATCAATCAACTCCCACATTTCAGAAACGATGACTGCTAAATGCTAAGCAAGCATGGGACAAGTTGTTGCAGGTTTATATGGGCAAAACCGTGTCCAACAAACTGTTTCTCGAGGATGAAATTCGGGCTTCGACCGGAAGGAGGTGAAATTGAATATCTCGCATGCAAGTTCCAAAATTGCATAGTCAATCTTCAAAAGGTCGAAGAAACTTAGAAAGATGATGATATGGCTACCATCTTGAGGTCTCTACCCTCATCTTTCAAGCACTTTCGTACAACTCTAAGGAGAGCCTGCAGCTTGAGGACACAATTCAAGCCTTTCAGTTATATGCTAAACTAGATGATATAACTTAAAGCTCTCAAGGCCTTTATGCAAAGGCAAGGAGAGGGGTGGCAAATGACAAAGGAAGAGAAGAACAGCAACAAGGGTGGATCGAAATCCATGAAGAAAAAGGAAAAGAAGGAAGGTTCCTTCTTGCCGATCATTGGAACAGAACTGCAAAATTAGGAAGAAGAAGGAAGCTTAGGTTCAGCTATTGCAATCACTTAAACATTGAGTGATGGGGAACTGCAAGGTTTGTACATTCCATATGTGTTCAGTAAAAGAATTTGATAACTACAAGGAGCTCAGCAGTGGAGAAGTTTTAATGGGGGATGATTCACCATGTTTTATAAGGGGGATGATTCACTGTCAAGATCAATATGTTTCATGGGGGTGATACAAACTTTAAGGAATGTCACATATGTTCTTAGATTCAAGCAGAATTTGATATCCTTGGGTACTTTAGACAAAGCCAGGTATGGGTTTGGCTCTGAAGCATGAAAACTCAAGGTTACCAAAGGTCACTGGTGGTAATGAAGGCTGACATACAACACAATGTGTTATAAAAGCTTATCAAGACTACCATAGTTGGGGGAGCAGCCGTTTGTACCAAGCAGAGTACAGAAGACAAGACTAAACTCTGGCATCACAAGCTAGGGCACATCAGGTTTGCAAGAATTACATAAGCGAGGCCTGCTAAAAGGCGTGTCACTTTGCAAACTGGAATTTTATAAGTACTGCATTCTCGAAAAGCAAAGGAAGGTATCGTTCGCAAGTATCAGTGCAGATAACTGAAGCATGGAGCAACTCAACTATATTCACTCAGACATCTAGGCCCTTGCGCCGACAAACTCTAAGGGTGGATGTAGGTATTATGTTACTTTTATGGGTGATTTTTTCTAAAAAAGTTTGGGTTTATTTCATGGAGCATAAATCCACAGTTTTTGCAAAGTTCAAGGAATGGAAGACACAAACCAAGCATCAAACTGGAAGAAACATCAAGTACATGAGAAGTGACAACGGAGGTGGGCATACAAGCAAGGAATTTGTGACTACTGTAAGCCGGAAGGCATCACGAGACACTTCACAGTAAAGAAGAATCAACAACAACAACAAAGCCTTTTCCCACTAAGTGGGGACAGTAAAGAAGAATCCCCAATAAAATAAGATCTGTTGAGAGAGTGAACAGAACTCACATAGAAAGAGATAGAAACATGTGTTATCATGCAGGATTGCCTGATGGTTATTGGGCAGAGACTGTTAATCATGCAAGTTATTTGATTAATAGGTCACCATCTACAATTCTCGGTTTTGGGAGTGCAGAAGAGGTGTGGACAACTCCCAACTCAGGGTGTTCGGTTACAATGTTTATGCACACATCCCAAGTGATGAAAGTCCCAAGCTAAAGAACAAGTTCCATAGGGAAGTCAAAAATCTTACAAATTCTCACCACCAATCAAGCAGAAAAGCTTGGAAAAGCTGGACCTGGACTTCAACTTTGAGTAAGGTCAGACCAAAAAGGATACAGCACAACTGCATGAGGATGGGAGGCAGCATAAGCTGGACTTGAACTTCATAGTTTACGAAAATAAAAAAAGAATATTATAAAGAAAACCTGTCTATCACTGTCAATCCCGTCCCTTGCTGCCTTGGCTGTAAAGTAAAACAAGGAGAAAAAAAAAATATTAAAGCCAATCCAAGCAAGGCAAAAAGAGTCAAAAGATAATAACAAGAAAAATTTAATCACGAAAAAGAAAAAAAGAATAAAAAGAAAACCTATTTCTTGATTTGAACCAAACTCAGCAAAACGATTAGAAGATGTGTCCCAGACCAACATCTCACCATCAAGAATACACCTGCCAATATTGCCAGGGAAGAATGTATAATGGCTTAAGGTAATACAAAAGATTAAACAAAACACTAACTGTGTGCGTTTTCTCATACAAATATGTATGGGGTTAGACTCTAAATGATACATAGCTTGTTAAACCAAACGCCTATGTTAATACCTAGTTTTCACGCAAATATTGCAAAAGATAGTGCTCACACATATTGATTGGTTAACAAATTAGGGTACAAATAAAGGTGCCACTTCGGGCATCTTTTGGTGCTCGCTAACAAGGAACAGTAAAGCCTTTGAGAGAATGTAGCTTTCTAAAATTGAGATGAATCCCAATCCTTGTGATGGAAGAAAAGGGGAGGTTTTCCATTTGACTGATTTAAGTATAGTTATCCCACAAAAACAGACAAAGACACCTTCAATCACAATTGAAAGACAAAAGTTGGTATTACCTATATGCCTGACCAGATTATTACAAATTAGTACAACCTATATGCATAACTAGTTGTTTATTAATGGTATACTAAAGCAACTTGAAGGGTGAGGTTTGAGGGTCTTTCTTTGTTTTTTCCTTCTGCTAAGGATTACTGCAAGCATAAGGGGTTTGTACATCTTTCCAGTGCACATCTGTTTTTTCATAACAAATGTGTCTCTTAACTAATCACTCCAGCCCATTTTTCCCACAAATTTTTTTCTTCTCGCTCCTTCTCCAATTCATTCTGTCCATTCACACAAAATCTATGCAGACATACGAAAGAAGATTATCTGTATTACAGAGAACTTTATCAAGATACCTCACATCGACAAACAAAGCAATAAAAGAACAGCCGAGCTCTCTCACGTGAGCTTGTAACCCAAGTGGGGGCATTAAGATGGTTTTGGTAATAGTGGATAAAAGAGGGCCCTTACCAGGCCTTATGCGGTGGCTTATCCTTTAAAAACTATAAAAAAAAATAAAAAGCAATAAAGAACAGAAAAGGGCAACAGAGCAAGACATGTCATATTTAGTGTATATTTATATTAGGGACACAAGAAAATAAGACAAATGCAGCCAAAAAATATCAAGGCTCTTGACAATTTGACATAGATATTACCTATCAGCCAGCACATTTTCTACGATAATGTCTGACATTGCATGTGCGTATTCAGAGTGCTCAAGAAAATTCCTGCGCAAGGGAAACATATTGAGTTAAGTTCTCAAATACTTTTGCTTAAGGAATCACTGATATGACAACGACCCAAGCTTTGCATAATTTCAGAAGGAAAACCAAATTCTCTTATTTGAGTAATCCTACCATATTTTGAGCCTAAACTTTGCAATCAAATAAAGTAATTTGTAATTACAATTAAAGAATGCCCATGAGAATAAAATAAAACATTTCCAAAATAAAGATTGAAGAGATAAGTAAATAAGAAAGAAATTGATAGTAAGGTTTGGGATTACAGGTTAAATTTTCCTCTACCTTGAGAAGTAATGTACTTCACTTCCGTTCTTATGAATTTGGATGCGATCGCCATCAAATTTACACTCAACAACCACTTCCTTACCATGAAACTGTGGATGCAGGGGAAGAAAATAAGAAAGATATGAAACAGAATCACCATTTATGCAAACATGTACATGTGAGTAATTTGTGTTTCTATTATATGAAACCTTTTTCCATGCAATATTTGCATCACCAACTCTCATAGCTAGTTGTGGGCGCACAGCTTTTCCAACTTCAATGTCCTGCAGTTTGATACAAAGTACTGTTCTTAATTCATAAGCTGTATCTTTTGGATACATATGAACATTTTGGTGGAAAGAAAAAAAACTAAAAAGCATTTTGACATTTATAAGATCAGAAAGAGCTTCGTAAGACATGTCTTCACAAGCAACTCCCAAAATGAAAAGCCGTTTTTATATCTTTGGCATGCAACAATAGCTTCAAATAATTTTGTCATAGTAGCTTCAACTAGTGAGTAGTAAATACTAGGAACATGCCTAAATAATGTTGCTAAACCATGAAATGTTCAAAGAGATATAAAAAATTGTTTCAGATTTAATTAGAGACCTGGCGTTTATGGCGCTGATTTCTATCACTGAGCTTTTCACAGACCAATTTCAAGTCGCATGTGACATTAAACAAATCTTCAGCATCCGGATGAAATTCGTGAAAGATGCTCTTTTCACTAGTTCCCAGCTTCAGATCTACAGGAGATATAAGAACATAAAAAATTGGAAACTTAAATGAATAGATACCCAAAAAAACATATCATGAAATTTGTAGACAATACCTTTAAGAATGATCATGACAATCCACTTCATTTCCTGTGCATTTGTCTTGTTTATCAGGGTCGAAAGAACTGAAGTCTTCTCTGCCCTGTTGACATGGTTGTGTCATTTAAGTTGCACCAGACAGATTGCGAAAAAATACTGTCTTCATACAATAAACGTAAAGCGAGCAGGGAATATGGTAAGTTGCAACCACAGACTTGCTATATTAATGTTTATCTCATATCTATACAAACTTGCTCACTTGATGCCTTGTAATTGATATTAAGCATTTACAAGGTCCTATTACAAATTCGGAAAGAAGCATTGTAGTAGTATACCTGTTTTCACTCGAAGCTAAACGATCAAGCAAGTCATTTAACTCCTTGATTGTTAGTCCACCTGAACTCAAACCCTGTCTACGTTGCAACACCTGATTCACAAATAGCGAATGGAAAACAAGTTATAAACATAAAACTCCGGAACCATGCACCAAGGTAAACTACAATGAACCACCAAGGTGGAAAATCAACTCATAATAATTTACTGCATGTAAAATTTACTGCAAGTCATTTGGAAAATCATTCTTGTAGGTTTCATTTCTTCAACTTCATACATATTAACTCATATGAACATCAAACCATCAGAAAATTCAGAAATTATATAAAAAAACATACCACCGACCCAGGAGCCAAAATCCCAAAATGAAACGAAACAAACAGAACCCACAAAAATTCCACACACAGAAAGAAATGCAATTTCAGAATAAACCTGAAAACCGTTACCTCCGCCGCCACGAGGGAGAAGTTCCCGGCATTGGCGCCGGTCTTGGCGCCACCCTTGCGCCAATTAATTAGGCGGAGAGCGTCCTCGGAGTCTCTGGCGATGCCAAGGGCGTCGATGAGGCAGGTGGCAAGCACGGACTCCTTGAGGCCGTAGGAGCCGCGCTCGCGGTCGAGGCTGGGAAGAATGAGGCGAATGGAGCTGAAGTAATCGGCGGGTTTGCAGAAATTGTCGAGAAATTTGCGGAATTTGGAGCGCTTTAGGGTTGAGGTTTTGGATTTCTGCATCCAGTTGAAGAGGCTGCAGAGCACGCTGAACTTGGTCTCGTCGGTAGCCATTTTTTTGAAGCTTGTTTGGTACGATGAGTGCTGTGAGTTTGAACTTTGGGGTTTTTATGTATGCGGTGAAGAAAAAAAAGAACCACTAAAAGTGCCTGGACGCCCCTTTTTTTTTTTTTTTTTTTTTTTTTATCACAAAGACTTCAATTGTAATAAAAACTAGTATAAGGTCCAAAAAGAATCGGATAAACATCTACAAAGAAAGTAAAAGGTCCAAGTAAAATGAGAGCAACAATTCAAGATACAACGAGAGCCTCACACAAGCTTAGGCCCGAAGGCAGCAGAAAATAGACAATAAAAAACCCTAATCTCCAGCAGCAAAAACTACATTGCCACCGCTGTCACATCCTTGGAGGAAGCTAAACTCCGAATTGAGAAAGTAGACATCGGATCCAAGTCTCCTTCACGAACCCCTGCAAATATATACAAACAAAGTAACATATGGGAAGAAGGTGAGGCTAAGGGGTACGTAAAATATCCAACACTTGGCCTCGATGGAGATCCGACATGCCGGTTGGGGAAGGGGAAGTGGATATGATATCCAATTTCTGATCAGAACCTGCCGATCCGAGCACATGGTGGGATGAGGATGAAGTATCACAGCTAGGGAGGGGGAGGAAGGAAAATAAAAGATAGAAAGCAGTAAAAGCAGGCGAAAAACGCCGGATAAGGGGCAAGATGCCCCGGATAGTTGAGACTCAACTCAAGGTAAACTGAGATTAAACTCAAGGGAGAACCAAGAATTAAAAAGGAAGGGAGAAAACTAGAAAATATGAAGGAAGAGGAGGAGGGAAGCAGGGAGGGGGAGGAGTAGAGGAGATGAGGGGAAGGAAAAGAAGGAAAGTGCAAGGGAAAGAGAACATGAGAAAACTTAAGAGAAAAAGGAGAAGAAGGACAAAAAGAAGAAAAGAAGGAAGGAAGGAACGATGCCTCAGCCAAAGGTTGGGGCCGGCGGCTAAGTTGTTGGGAGTCTTTCACAAAGAGAATTTTAGAAAGAGAAAAAGGGGAGACTTATTAAAGAGAGAGCGTTTTTTAAGTGTCTGGAAGTTTGTTTTCATACTCGTAAGTTTAAACAAAGGAGCTTTCACTGACTATTTCAATTGAATAGAATAATTTGTCATCAAATAGTATTGACTAAATTATTGTTTTTAAGAAGAAAAAAATAATGATTAATGAAAACAACTTGGAGTAACTTTAATTTAATAAAAAAAAATTAAATTAAACTATTATTTAACCAAAAATGATTAAAAATTCATCATAGGAACAAAACTATTCTTAAATAGACCCCTGCAAACACAAATACTCATGGGCCGAATTAAAAGCCCAACACAATAAAAAGAAAATTCCAAACTTGCCCCAAACGAAAACTACCCAAGTCCGTTATCGTAGTAAACATGAAAGTGATGAACTGTTGTCCACCATCCCCAATTTCATTTTCCCTCTCTGACATCCACCATTCCCACTTTCATTTTTCCTTTACCCAATTCTCAAAAACTAAAAATACTACTTTTTCAAATATTACTTATATGGAAGGTTTCTTTTTCTCCAATGTGTTTTAACTTTTTATTTGAATTTATTTATTTCTTCTTATCTCACCTTTTCTACCTAGTACAATTTTTTATTAACTACAAGTAACCCCTTCAACTTATGTCATGTTTACTTTTTCTTTGGTAACTCTACAAATTTGATACTTTGAGATTCTTCAAGGAAAAAATGATCAAATAGCTAAAATATTTCCATAAGTAAACAAAGTTATCAATTATAAACAAATGAAAAGTCTCCAAAATGTAAAATCTTCATATTAAACATTACCACTATTTTAAAAACTAAGCAGTGAGCACTGCCACTACCACTTTTTCTAGAATTAAACACAGATTATTTGTAGAACTGGACAATGACTATTTCTTAAACTGAACATTAGTATTATCTATGGCATATTTGTCAATTTGCCTCCCGAACTTGTATGGAGCTACAAGTTTTCCCCCTGAACTTTAATTTTAGCTGATTAATCCCTTGATCTTTTATAATCAGCCAATTTTCCCCTTGAACTTTAATTTTAACCGATTACCCCTTGAACTTTTATAAATATCCAATTCCCCACCCACCTACCCCCCTCCGGCATCAAATTTTTAAAATTATCAAGATCACATAAATAACACATGACAAATGTATGAGGGCAAAAAGGATGGAAAATTAAATGGATGAAAATTTGAATGAAAATTTTCAAAATCTAACGCCAAGGGGAAAATTTGCCATTTATAAAAGTTCAGAGGGGTAATCTGCTAAAAGTAAAGTTCAATGGGGTAATCGGTTAAAATTAAAATTCAGGAAGGAAATAGGCAGTTCTATACAAGTTTAGAGGGTAAATCAACAAATACCTCTATCACTATTGTAGTTCCAAAAATAGTGTCGATTATTTTGATTCAAAATTAGAAATAGTGTTGGTTATTTTGCTGTAATTTTATAAATAGTGTGGTTGACACACCCCGATCAAAATCAAGGCGTGTTGGCCATCACGTGAGGGTGACGTAGCCATGTGCACGGTGCGGAAGCAAAATATAATAATAAAAGTACGAATAAATAAAAACCAAACTACTAAACAATGTAGTTAACGTACAAGTGCAAGTGTGAAAGACAATATTCAGGGCACAGAAAGCCTAAGTGCAGTCCAGAAGAATAATACTAACTAAACACACCCAGAGGTGGTCCTACACTGGTGATAATCTATCAGATATGCCGTGGATTCCTCGTAAGCCACCAAAAGAGCAATCCAAATTAGAACTTGGAGGGGCGCAAAACAGAAAGTGTGAGTGGGCAAAAACAAAGCATTTCAAAATCATTTCACTATCAAAAGTTCTAACCCCTTGCCGTAAAACCTGTATAGTTTCCCAGGAAATAGAATATACACATATATCAAAAATATGCTCAGAAATATGTCATGTCGAATGCCTCCACATAAAATGTAAGTAACCCAGGTAATGTCAATCAATGCAAGTAATATGTCAGCCGGAGTCACCTAACGTGACCTGTACGGCTAAATCTAGAGCTCAAATCCCCAACTCACTAACTATACCTGCACATAAGTCGAAACCACCTAAAGTGGTCTATACGACAGGACTGGGTGTAAATAAATACGCTCAAGTGCTACAATCACGTGAAGACTGGGCGAATAATCGCGGGTCACCTACAAGTCGGAACCACCTATAGTGGTCTATACGACAGGAATGTGCACCTAACTTGAATCCAAGATGAGCGTGTGGTGCAGGAGGTGAACATCACCTGAAGGACTATGCCCTACTCTGGGTAGGAGCACTAACACCGGGGGTGCAGGTTATGAGTTCTCTATGCACAACACATAACTACAACGTCACAACTATAAACTATAACTAACCTGGCACTTACCTGTGCGTCCGTAGCACCAAACATACATATATGCAACTACTTATGCATAATAAATAGGCACACACTAAGCATGGCATTTTAAAACATATAAACATTCCATATCATTTTCTGGGAAAAACCACAAGTATATAGGTATATACGGAAAACCAAAAGCCTACTCACTGGTATGTGGAACGGTCGTAACCCCCTTGTCTCGAGTGACTGCGCTCGTCCTCAAGATAAGTCTCACCAATATGCAAAACAACTATAAAAACGTCAATTAAAGCACATAACCAAAACTAGGTAATAACTTCTCATACAATACTCAAATGGGGTGTGTGAATACACCAACGTGATCTACTCAACCTCACAAACATCCCCATATTTTTAAAATAATTTTCCGATGCTCCACGCGCCGCCACACTCCGGTGAGTGCACAGACCTACGCGCCCCCCACGTGTGGCCACGTGCCAGGCACACAAACGGCGTTAATTAATGCCGTCAGGAATATTTCGTTAAACCCTAATAGAATTCGTTAAATTTGACTGACTGCCTCAGAATATTTCGTCCAAACTGACAGAATATTCCGTCATCTTCTCCGGCAAGTCGTCGGTCGTCGGTCGTCGGAAAACCTGGAAAAACTTAAAACCTTTGTTTCTCACTCGATTCTTCACCAATTTCAATGAAATTTGCACCAATGGAAAGCTGGAGATGAGTAGAACAACGTTATACCTGTTTGAAACCTCAAAGATCATAGGATCTCGCCGGAAAAATTCAAGAAAAATCGGCCAAACTTGCAACTCACGATCCCGACATCCAAAACCTTCCAACGAACCACCCCGAGCTTCCTAAGAACCTCACTAAGCTTCTATAAGCTTCAAATTCCTTGAAAAACAACATTTCACGTGTGCATGAACAGTGACCAAATCGGAGATTCCTGGTTCGACGTGAAATCAAAGGATTCCTTACCTGAAATTGGTATGGTTGAACTCGTATGGTCCTCACGAACACAAAGTTATAATTTTCCACCTTGATTAGTGACGTTTGCACGGGATTTGGGTCTCGTCCGTACAAGGAAGAAGTAGAGAAAGAGATAGAGTAAGTGTTCGAGGCAGAGAAGGTATATGGGGGAAGGAGATGAGGATGAAAGTATGTGTGTGGTTCAGATGCAACCAGCCAAACAACACAACAACCACCCAAAATGACAAATACCCACTCAAGGGCAAAATCGTCATTTCACACCTATGGTACAATTAATTCGGGACGGGCTGTTACAATGGCCTGTTTTGGTTCAGTTTTAGAAATAGTGTAAGTTATTTTGGTGTAGTTTCAAAAATAGTGTGGTCAATTTGCTGTAATTTTAGAAATAGTGTGTGTTAATTAGGTTCAGTTTTAGAAATAGTATGGTTATTTTGTTCCCTTCCAAAAATAGTGTGGGTTATTTTGGTTTAGTTTTCAGAAATAATGCGTAATTTTGATGTAGTTTCAGAAATAATGTGGATTATTTTGGTTCAATTTGACAAATAATGTCCATTATTTTGCTATAGTTTTAGAAATAGTGTTTATTTTGTTCTATTCCAAAAATGGTGTGAGTTATTTTGGTTCAGTTTCAGAAATAGTATATAAAATAATTTATGTTAACATGATTTAAACATAACCATTTAAATAAGGGAGGAAATAAGGGCAGAGATTTGAAGGAGAGAATCCTAATCACCTTTCATAAAGCTTGTCTGAGGAATTGGTATGTGTAACTATCTCATTTGCAACACTTGTAATTCTGAAGGAGAGTTTTGTCGAACTTAAGAGGAGTGTTCTGAAGTATACTTACTTGACCTTAATGTACTATTTCTCCCTTTGTTCTGAAGTATTTTTTCCACTTGGTTTTTGCTAACCTAACGAGATTTTGACAAGACACCCACATTGGGATGGCCATACCCTTGTGTGCATTTTTCTTGCTGCTTATATCCTGAAAAAGTAAAGTATCCACATGTTGCATCAGCTCACATTTTTCTCCTTATATTATGGGTTTTTTTTTCCCTTTTGGTTTACCATAGTTAGGTTTTGGAGAGACTTACTCTTATATGCAACCCCTATTTGAGACTCATGATTGCTACTTGTGCCGACTAGACGAGATGACTTCATCAACTACTTCAACATTTGCCTGAAGATTTGATGCGCATACTACTTAAGTATTTACACACTCAAGGGGAAATGTTGTATTTATCACGCGTGATTGTGTAAATGGTAGTAGATTATGTATAGGAATCCAATAAAATATAGAAGATATTTCTTATTAGTGTTTATATTACTTGGAGAACAAGTTTCTCTCTCCCTTATTAGTATAAATAAAGGCACAAAACATGAGAAATATCAGCACATATAATTACTCAAGCCCTTTTTTATCCTTCTTCTCTCTGTCGATTATCCTCTCTTTTCTCTTTCCAAACTTATGCCACGACATTCTTCTATTTATATGTTTACGTATAACTTTTTTTTCTTTTCTGAAATAATGTTTACCTCTAACTTCAGGGCACATTTGGTGGGCTAGACATGATAGGATTTTGTGTTATGCATGCTTAAGCTAGGATTAGATTGGATAGGTTGGGTTTTTGTTTTTCTTTATATTATTTGTTGTGGACTAACTCAACTGTATACGATTGGATTCACAACAACGTTAGCGACCCGCCCACAACGGTGGTGCGACAACCCACTCAAGACGCAACTGGCGAAGTATGTATTCTTCTTGGGAAGTATCAAATTTTATTAGGAATGAATGACAATAGTCTGTTGTGTTCCTGTAAAGGTTTAAGTAATACACAAGAATCTAGGTTATTTTCCATGAAGCTGGTTAGTATACAAAATATTTACAACTAATTCGATATTAATTGTAAAACAAATAAGCGAATGTTGGATTGTCTTAGTTTCTAAAATCTTCCTCTTCAACTTGCTGTATTCCGAGTTCAACCTATTTTTGTTCCCCTAATATGAATTAGTGTAAAATGATAAAAATTGTAACATATACACATGGAATTTAATATTACCTTTGACAGACATTATGAAAATTCTACAAATTTTTGTATATTACGAGAATAGTGTCATAAAACTTACTAAAATTTTAAAATCTTTCAAGAGTATATTGCAACAATTAGACCTCACAATTTCTTGCACTACCCGATCACCCAACACGAAATGACACAAAAAATAATAGGTTTCAGCCAACACGTTAACTAATTGGGGAGTTATTAGGCTACCCGTTAAGAACACGTTAACAACAGATTTACACACGGTTAACCCGTTTCAACCTTTAAGAAAAAAAATTAGTTTGATAATTTTAAAGTACTAAAAAACCTTACTAGTTACTATAATAGCTATAGACACGCAAGTGAGATTAAAAAATTCCAAAGAAAATTAAAACACCAAAGCAATTTAAAAGTACCAAAGCACATTAAAAAATTCATAATAGTTAATTTACAATTTGTGAAAAATGTGAAAAAAACGCACCTGAGCGCATCCTCTATGCTTTGATAATAGGTACATCGTCGTTTGAAATTTTAAACACGAAGACTTGTTTCATCTAATAAAACAACAAAATTGCAACTGAGGGATGAAACAACTAACAAGGCCATTTGCCAGCATCAGCATTGAGAACTCGATGAAAATATTAACAAAAGAAGAGCGGTGATCAAAATGTTGAGCCGTTGAACCCGAAGAAGGACCGCTGCAGCATAATACAGACTCGTTAGTAATAAATCAACATCGGATAATATTTGTTTTAGTCGAACTAGCTATTGAAAGGCCTGTTTACTACTAAACTTTACCTACCTTAACTAAGCGTAATTTCACTACGACAAATGAAAATACAAGAGTTAATCTGGTAAAGCTTCTCAGAACCGGTCCCCTTCTAGTATGGTGGTTTTGCCCTTTGTGAGACATGGCACCTCCTCCTCCCCCCCGTTAGTGTACGGGAAGGGTTACAGCGTTATTATTTATTCTCCTCTTTTCGTTTGATTCGGGAGAAGGGGAAGCACAATATGGAATTATGCATGGATGTGGAGATAAATTGCTCTACCACGAGAACCAGAAGTCCCACTAGTAATTCATGTTGCTATGCAATACGAAGAGTAGTATTCTACATTTCTACTATACTGGTAGAGTGCAGCTGCGAAATTCAGCAATCCAATACAACAAAACAAGTAAATGGGCTCACCTCAACGTCATAAAATTTGATATATGAGCGGGAGCTATCAATGGAGAGCTTAGTTTCCAGAACTTGTGCAATGGTTGAACTCAGTTTCCCGTCAACACCCGGTCCAATGCTCCCAATGGAGATCAATTCTGCATACACAGCTGGCTCTTCTGTACCGGCAAATGCAATCGGCAGAGTCCCGTTGAGCAAAATCATCACATACTGAAGAACACGGAACCAAACAGAAACATAAATACCCAACACCAATACATTATTGAATCGCATGGGAAACAAAACATTACCATTCATTGAGTACTTTCATCGAACGGTTAATGTGCATGCCAACAGCAAGAACAAAAGGGACACACGACAGCGAAGAGAGAGAGAGAGAGAGAGAGAGAGAGAGTTAACGGACTCGGGTTTGCCAATGATTTTAGAAACGGCTTTGGTGGCGTCCTTGAGGATGTCAGAGGCCACCACTCCGTCCACCGGCACGTCCGTAAACAGATTAAATGTCGGCATTGTTCTAAGATTTGAGAGAAAATGAACAAACAAGGCGTTTCTTTTTATAAACAGTCTTATCTATCAATCTATGCTGTTGAGGAATTTTTATGTCGTTTAATTTAATAGTTGTTCATTTCCAGCTAAATACAGATGACGGTGAGGATTTCCATGCCACGGTACAAGTTTCTCTCCACATGTGACAATGTATCATTGGTCTTACTGTCGCAATAAAAATCACCCTGGGAGAATTTTGATTGTATGTTGGCAAATTTGAGAAACTTGTAATAATTTTAACTTGTTTTGTTGGATTTATTGATCATCCAGCTCAGAATATTTATGCCCTGCGGAATATCAACTTTTGTGATCCTCCTGCAAAATTTCGGTTCTTGAGCTTTCATGGGTTAATCGTCTCCTGACATTTTGGTTGTGCTGTACGGGATCGCACGGCTGATGTTTCCTCCGTTCATCACATCCTCTTCTTTTTTATTTTTTATTTTTATTTTTATTTTTTTTCCTGAAGGGATTTGCTTTGCAGGGAAATTTCAAAGAGCCAAATTTTTGGACATGTTAACGACTTTTCTCCATTATTTTTAACTTGTTGAATTCAAAACGCTCGAGGAGTTCAAGCGCTACTCTACTCGAAGGTCCGAGAAATAGTCTCGGACGAAGGGGGCATCTCTTTGAACACCTTAAAACAGTGGAGACTAAAACATTAACTTTAAGAAACAGGTATTCATATACATTAGTTTCAATATGTCATTCTCTTCATGGTTCCAGCTGAATCCTTTACATTAACAATCTGTTCGCTTTTTCGGGTACCTTTTAATTAATTATCTTATTTAATTTTAAATTACAGTTCAGATAAAGAGTATTACAATAAAAATTATTATTATTACAATTGTATTCTTTCTTTAATTTAGTAAATATTAGTATTTGGTCTCATCCCATACATGAAGACAAGTAGAATATCCACAACTGGATTATTTTATTTTATTTTATTTTATTTTTTAATTTTTGTGGTGATGGATAATTTATGAACTGGAGTTCTTAATTTGTTACTAGCCTAGAATAATGCTTTTATTCAAGAACAGGATTACAAATCCAAAGTTTGATAAAGTTGAAAAAATGAAACATAAATATTCAAATGCTCATGAAGCAAACACGAAAACCCCTATTAGTACTATTTCATTACAGTCTTCTATATCCCTTTCAAGCCTTAGTTACCTTGGAAAGCTACCAACAGAACGAATCTGATGATTCAGATAACAAAACGGGACCCCGACCCCTTCTGGCAACTTTATAAATACTACCTCCAACATTATGTTTTCACTGATTAGAATCATTTGGAAATAACTCAAGTCAAAGCAGAAAAGCCACCATTAGTCCTTGCTTACCAATTAATTCAGAGTCTAAACATGCTGTAGCCTCCTCCTGGACCAGACGATCCATAATTGCCGCCATAGGGTTGTGAGGGTAGTGACGATGATGGGTAGGATGGAGCACCTAACTGAGAGTAGGATGACCTCAATCCAGTATCCATCACGCCATAGTTACTTGTAACTGGTTCCTTGCGACTGTTTATAACCTCCTGAAAACACACAAGATAAGATACCAAGTATTCTTAAAATTTCCGAGCCGGGATTCACTCTTTTCCTCCCTGTTGAAATTTCATATTCTTCAATGTGTCTAACTTGCCAAAAATTCATCTCCACCAGCATGCTAATATGCAAGTTTTTTTTTTTTTTTTTTTTTTTTGAAAAAATTTCACCTTCTGTAACTAAAACATATGAATTAATCTTTCATTATCTCAAAGAGTCATAACAGGTCTTTATTAAACAAAATAAATAAATAAATACGTAAAAACTTTGTTTATAGCTTCTTGCCTCCTCGATATTAGAAAGAAATACTCATTGGGAAGCATACCTGAATCAGTTGTTGAGCCATCTGAACCTGTGATGAGGTGCCTTTTATTTCTACAGTAATTTCATCTGGTAGTCCCCTACTCTCTTGCACAGTTAAGATGGCTCCGCTACTGCGACGAATGAATGCAATATTCGACCCTTCAACCCCAATAATGTCCTCAGCATAAGATAGAGGAATTTGCATTGTTTGTGCAATCTGATTATAAAATGAAACAGATAAAATAATATTACTGAGACTGTATAAATGCAAAAATTGACTCACATGACACAGGTCTGATGCAATCTGATACACTTTAGTATTTCCAATTGACAACAAATTTTACAGACGTCATACATCAAGAAATTTTTACTCCAAATAGTAGTCATTCGGTAAGACATACAGCCTTAGTTGTATATGCGTATCATCAGACTCTAGTTATAAACAAGACATGTATATTTCTACTGATGCTAAGTAAATCAAGGTCTAGACAGTAAAGGATCCCCCAGCATCCTTCTAAGAAAGCAAGATATACAACACTGTCGACCCCATTTAACTTAAATAAAAGTTAAGAGTCAAGTTCGACCATCCTTGTGTGTGTGCATGCTGTGAAGACCAAAATGAGCTCATTACAAGGCAGTACGAAGTTTAGCTAAAATATGAAACAGCTAGAACAACCAACCTGAGTAACAATAGGAGCACCAGGACGACCAATTCCCGAAGAACGGATAGAAGAAAGAGAAGGATCTTGTCCATAAATAGACCCTTGCCTGTAAACAGAAGGGTCTTGTCCATAAATAGAAGGATATTTTCCATAAATAGAAAGATCTTTTCCATAAAGTGAAATTCCAGCAGAAGGGAGTTGTGATTCCAATTGAGTTTCACGATCAAGAAACAAAGACTCCCTCTTTGATGAGAGAGGGTAATTAGTGCTCACTCCAGTTTGAGAAGCAGTATGCAGCAACGACTTGTCAGCCCAGGTAGTATCTGGTTGGCGCTCTTGTGAGATTGTCGAATGCTAAGGATGCACGATCCAGTAATTAATACACAGCAATGCAAAGAATGAAAATCCAGCAGACATCAGTGGGAATTAAGCTTACCGTCTTCTCAAAAAGCGGAATAACACTATGATCAACCAAAAACTTCCTCAGGTGAGCCACTACCGCTTCTACAGCTTTGAGAACCTTTAAAGCTTCTCCCTGCAATTCAACAATCCTCTCATCTGCGGCAGCATAGGACGGAACCTCCTCTGCCAAAATAAAAATAAGGTATCAGAGAAGGAAGAAAGGTTTATAATTTTATAGCATGGAAAGAGGCAAAGGCACTTGACATGGATAAGGAATGTGAAAAGGGGAAGAAAAGGAATAGACACTAGTTTCATAAACAAGGGATCTGAAGACAATGAATAACGTGACAGCGTATTTCTAGCAGGGATAACAAATATGACCAACGCTTGTTTTTCAAAAATAAAGCTATAGCAATTTTTTTTCAAGTAAAAGCATCATCCATTCCGAAGTTAAAAGGACTCCAACATAGAAAACTGATTCACAACCCAGATGCAGGAAAGGAAAAGGGAGAAGAATGTATGTTAAACTCCACACCATACTACAACAACAACATACTTATCTTCACTAGCATGATCACTTAACTTACAAATTATCAATGGAAAAGCTAAGCCTCTATAAGTAGGAGCACAGAAGTAACACGAAACAAAAAAAAAAAAACAAATACGGAAACTTAATTATCATTTCAGTTCCAATTTCCAATAAGTAAGCCCTTCTCTCAGTTGTTCATTCTATATAACCAATCTGACCACTTTAGCTATAAATCATAAAAACAGCAATGAAACACATTATCCTTAGAATTGGGGAAACAGTGATGAAATAAGTAGATATTTTCAACCATTGGTATTTTACTAAATAGAAAAAAGTGTATCATGCAACAATAAGAGCATACCTCCAGATAATACTCGCACAGAAGATCCGGTACTCTCTTGTATAGATTTGATTAATGATCCTTGTTTTCCAATTAAATTAATTGCTTGGGTAGATGCTACCAACAACCGGATGGAACAGAATGCAACTCCAGCAGCACCAGACCCCTCACTCTCAGATAATCCAGAGACACGTTTGAATATTCTTATTACAGCATCCATTGCAGGGGACAGAGGTACCTCTGGCTCTTCCCTTGCAGAGATCAGCACCTACAAAGAAATGTGTATTAGAAAGATTGTAGCATAGAATGTTATCACTATAGACAATTTGTGGTTGAATGGGATCACACATTGATAGATCACACAAGCAAGTAGAAGGAAGCTTCATAGCCAAGAAAATAGTGATGAACCACTTTGAGATTAACATTGGGGGCTGTGGAACTTCAACAGGAATACAAGATACAGAACTAGAGATTGGTTCAAGCATGCAAGGAAAAAAGGTGATATTTGGAAAACTAATCAGGACTAATGCGTTGGTAAGGAAGTTGATATGCCTTCGTGATGTTGATAACCGTGGAAACTTGTTAGGAAGGCATCAAATCTTATAAATGCCAATTAAACAATGCTTAAAAACAAAGATTTAGTATTATAACTAGATGTTTATAAAACATCCCAATAGTTACTCATCTTATGGCCCATACTATATTTTGAGTGTTTGAAATTTGAATAAAATCACAAGCCCGATGCAAAAGAGTTCACATTATAATAGGTCATCTTAACATAGCAGAATACCAGATACTTATTGTCATTCTCATCTTATGCCCCCACTAACAAATTGAGTGATTGAGTAAAACTATGAGATGGATGCAAATGACTTTGGCTAGCAATGAGTCATCTTCACATAGCAGAATACTCAACAATGATCAAGTCTTGTTTCAGATTTGCGATTGTCATATATCTTGATTTCTTTAAAAATTCGAGAAAGTTACTGATCTTTTGCCTGGTACTAAACAATGAATGATTGAACAAAACTACGAGCTGGATGCAAAGGATATCACATAACAGTGGGCCATCTTCACATAGCACCTAATACCGCCTATGCCCCGTTCTTGGATTTCAAGTTGTTCCGGTTTCTCTTCAATACCCGAAAACAAAACTTCAACCCCCACCTCAAAAGATCATTCCTGTCATAGCCTTTTCTAAGCAATAACACCTAAGCACCTACGAACCAAATGCTAATATTAAACTAACTTCACTTTTAGGGTTTCTGTTACCTCATGACACAGATACAACTAAATTCACAAAATTCAAACTTAAATTTTCAATATTTAATCTCCCCACCCACTTGTTAGCAACAACAAAGCTTAATTAGTAACCCTAAACAGTCATTAGACCACAATTAACCAGAAGATTACACAAAGGAAGCTGAAAAGCACAAACCCTAGATCTCAAAACAACCATAAAACAGTTAAAACGCAGCACTATGGAGCAATTACAAGAAGAACACAAAAAGGCAAACCGTAGAAAGGAAGAAATCAAGGAAAAACTCACGATGCGATCAGGATTTCCAACAGCGCCGTCCAGGACCCGAATGCGAGCTCGGGTCTCCTCGCACATCTTCTTAATGAGCTCGCCTTTGCGGCCAATAATGCTACCGACCTTCAGAACCGGCACAATTAGCCGAAACACGCAGTCCCCGGGCCAACCCGGCCATCGCTTATCAGCTATTGAGGTGGAATCGTTGCCGACGTTCGTTGGGTTCGTGGCAGCCCCGGTGTCCGAATCGGGACCAGATTCGGGTTCGGGATTTTGGTCCGGATTGTTATTTGTTGTTGGGTCGGACTCGGGCACTGTAATTGGGGCGGGGGTGGTTTCGGATGTGAGTGGCTGCGCGTCAACTTCCGCAGCGTTGACGAAGCCGTTCTTGGTGAGTTGTGCGGTGGCCATATTAGAGAGAGAGAGAGAGAGAAAGAAGGTTAGGGTTAGGGTAAAAGGTTTAATAGGGACAGTGATGCCTGAAAACGGAAGAGGGGTTTTGTCGGTGGGTGTTGCAGCAGGGTGTTTGCAAATAAGGACCGTATTGGTGGTTGGACTATGGACTATAAAAATATGAATGGCACGTGATCTCCCTCTTAGAGCAAGCCCAGCGTTGGGTTTTGCTCGGGGGACAGGGGAGAAACCAAGGGCCTGAGGGCCAGGGGATCAGGTCCAGCGTAGCCCAGCCCGACCGAAGGTGGAGGCCTGAGCTCCGGGCCCGTGGGGGATTGCCAGCCCAAGAGCCCGAGGTGGGGGTGACATCAGGCTGACGCCAGGGTGGCGTCAGCGTAATATTTAAATTTTTTTGTGTCAGGCGCGTGCACCCCACCCGCGCGTGGGAGCGCGTCGCCGACACAAAAATCAGAAAAAGAAAAAAGCTGTCAGTTACCGTTGGGAAGCCACGTGGCTTCCCACGGTGCGTTAGATCTCAACGGTCACTTTATTTAGACCGTTCGATCTCAACGGTAAAAAAAAAAAAAGTCAGATTTAATATCCACCGTTTGATCTGAGATCAACGGTGGATATTAAAATGCTTTATAAATAAATAAAATAAAAGAAAAAATAGTTTTAAAAATATGAAAAGTTACCGTTGTGACATGTGGCACAATCTGGAGTGTTGGAATTCAAATTTTTTTATATCCAACAGCAGAGATTAATTAATTGAA